CCTCCTCATAAATTATACAACTTTCGTCCTCGTCCGCCTCCTCGCTCCTCCTCGTCCTTCTTCCCTTTCCTCTCCCCCTCAGTCCCCTTCCTCCTCCTCCTCCTCCTCCTCCTCATCCTCCTCCTCTCCTCCTCCTCCTCCTCCTCCTCCTACTCTTCACACTTCTTCCTCGTCCCCCTGCCTCCTCCTCCCCCCTTCCTCTCCTCCTCCTCTCCTCCTCCTCCTCCTCCTCCTCCTCCTACTACTCCTCCTCCTACTCCTCCTCCTACTCCTTCTCTTCGTCGTCGTCGTCGCCATCATCATCCTTCCTCTCCCTCACTCCTCCTCACTCCTCGTCCCAGTCCCCTCCCCATCCTCCCTCTCCTCATTATCTCCCTCCTCCTCCTCCTCCTCCTCGTCCTCCTCCTCCTCATCATGGCCATCATCAGCACCATCATCATCACCACCATCATAATTATCAGTATCACCATCACCATTGTCATCGCCATCACCATCGTCACCCCCGCCATTTCATCTCCACCATGCCTCACTCCACCTTCTCCTTCCGCTCCTGCCACTGATCCTGCTGTTCCTGCTCCTGCTCTTGTTCATGCGCACAATTGCACGCATAGGTCTGAAAGCCAAACAATGCTCGGGAGAGGGAGAAGTAAGGAAGCACCCGGGCGAAGAACGACGGCCGAAAGGAGGGAAGCAAAAAGGGACGGGGGAGGTCGGTACTTCCGAAACCCCAGCAACTGAAGGGAGCCAGCGTCCGCCCGCGGGCCCTTGATTTTTAAAGCGAGCGACCCTGCGCTGAAGCGCGGGTGATTGAGCGCGCGCTGTCGATCGCAAGCTGTGGCTGAGCGCGCGCTTTGTTTGAGCGTGCGCTGTTGAGCGCGCGCTGCGGTTGAGCGCGCGCCGTGGCTGAGCGCTCGCTGCGGCGGAGCGCTCGCCGAGGTTGCGCGCGGGCACTAGAACGCGCTCTGTCGAGCACGCGCTGTTGAGCGCGCGCTGCCGAGCGCGCGCTGTGGCCGAGCGCGCGCTATGGCTGAGCGCGCGCCGTGGTTGCGCGCGCACTGTTACGCGCGCGTCAAGGTTGCGCGCGCTGTCGAGCGCTCGCCGCGCCGAGCGCGCGCCGCGTTTGGGCGGGCGCTGCGTTTGAGCGCGCGCTGTCGAGCGCGCGCTGCCGAGCGCGCGCTGTTTTTGAGCGCTCGCTGTTATGCGCGCGCCGTGGTTGAGCGCGCCGTGGTCGAGCGGGCGCTGCGTTGGAGCGCGCGCTGTTGGGCGCGCGCAAATGAGCGCGCGCCGTGGCTGAGCGCGCGCTGCTGAGAGCGCGCCGCGGTTGACCGCTCGCGGTTGAGCGCGTGCCGTCGAGCGCGCAGCGCGCGCAGCTGGGCGCTGGCTGTTGAGCGCGCGCCATTGAGCGCGCGCCGCGGTTGAGCGCGCGAAGCGCCTGCGCGCGCGCCGCGGTTGCGAGCGTCGGCTGTTGGGCGCGCGCTGCAGTTGAGCGCGCGCCGTTGAGCTCGCGTCGTTGGGCGCGCGTTGCAGTTGAGCGCGCGCAGGGGCTGAGCGCGCGCTGTGGTTGAGCGCGATTTGTTCAGCGCGCGTTGCGGCGCGTCGCAGCGCGGCGCGCGGGCTGCGCGCCCTCGACCCGCGCGCTCCCTCAACCGCAGCGCGCGCTCAACAGCGCATAATCGTTGCTCGCGCGCAGCGCGCGCTCAGCCGCAGCGTGCACTCGCAGCGCGCGCCCGACCGCAGGGCGCACGCGCAGCGCGCGCTCAACCACGGCTGTCTTCAAGAGCTTGCGCGCTGGATTTGCGCCCGCGCGTCCTGGGCAGCCTTCCTCTATAGTGTCGCGTGCGCGCGCGTGCGCAGCGTGCGCTCGCAGCGCGCGCTCATGGCGCGCGCTCTCGGCGAGCGCTCATTTCGCGGCGCGCGCCCACGGCGCGAGCGCTCCACGACGATCGCAGCGTTGCTCTCGAGCCGCGAGAGCACGCTGAGAGCGCGCGCTGCGAGTGCACGCTGCGAGCGCGCGCTGCGAGAGCACGCTGCGAGCGTGCGTGACTCGAGAGCCGTGAATGCACGCTGTTGGAGCGAGCGCTGCGTGACAGCACGCTGCAAGAGCACGCCGTGGGAGCGGACTGCGAGGGCGCGCTGCGCGCTGCGAGCGCGCGCCGCGCGCGCGAGCTCGCGCGCAACGCTATAGAGTATGTCAACCCGGGACGCGCGGAAACTAATCCAGCGCATAAGCCCACGAGGAACCCGCGACGCCCGCAGCGCGAACTCACGGCGTGCGCCCGCGCTCTTTCTCACCAGCCGGCGCGCAGTGAGCGCTCGCAGCGCGCGCTCGCGGCGAGGGAGTCGCGCCGCGAGCGCTCTGGGGCGCGCGCGCCGCGAAGGGGGCGCCAGCCGCGAGGGCTCGCTGTGAGAGCGCGCCGCGAGTGCTGCGAGAGCACGCCATCAGAGCACGCGGCGAGAGCGCGCTGCGAGCGCGCAACACCATTGAGGAAAGCGGCCCGGGGCGCGCGGGAGCAGATCCAGCGCGCCAGCACTTAGAGATTTCGTCGCGCCCACAGCGCGCACTCAGCAGAGCGCGCTCGCGCTCTCTTTCACCGGCCGGCGCGCGCCCCCAGGGGCGCGCGCTCGACGGCGCGCAGCGGCGCGCGCTCAACAGCGCGCGCTCAGCGGCGCGTACTCGACAGCACGCACTCAACGGCGCGCACTCAGCCACAGCGCGCGCTCAACCACAGCGCGCGCACAACAGCGCGCACTCAACCGCTGCGCGCGCGCGCCAGCGCGCACTCAGCCACGGCGCGCGCTCAGCCACTGCGCGCACTCAACGGTGCGCGCTCAACCACGGCGCGCATTCAACAATGCGCGCCCAGCCGCAACGCATGCTCAACAGCGCGCACTCAAGCACTTAAAGCGCAGAACCACTCTCGGTTAACCGCATCGCTCACGGCGTAAATCTCCTCTCGCCACGGGCGGTTGGACGCCCCGCGCCCGTGCAGCCGCCGTGGCAAACGAGCGAGGGGCGACAGCGAGCGCCGTCTCGGCGCGTCGACGCCGGCGCCGCCGTCGTCGCAGTCGCCCGGCCCCCGCCAGCCATCCTTTCTCCCCGCCCCTCCCCCCACCCCAGATATCTCCAGAGGGCTTGGCCAACGCCGCCGCGCGGATTGCGGGGGGGCGGGGGCGCGGGTGGCGATGGTAGGATCAGGACAAGGGGACATCAGCAGCTAGGGAAGTCCAGAGGGCCCTTAGAAGCGCACTCGGGCCAGGAAACGCCGACGACCCAACGCTCGAAACAATTTTCCAGCTTCGCTAGGCTCGCGGCGAAAGCGCCTTGCCCCCTTCGCCCCCCCGCCCAGCCCCCCGCTGCTCGAGATTGCAACCAGATGTAATCAGATCACGGGATGGGCCCATCATTATGCAAACTGCTACACACTTTGGAACCGCAAGAATCGCAGTGCCTGGTATAAGTAAGCGACGTGGGCATCACAATGGGGCTCGGGGGCGAAACGGGGCACGAGAAACTCACCCTCCTGGGCACACAGAGCGGCGAGCTTACATGCTGGCTCCACGACGCCGACGCCACTGTCTGAATCCTTGGCTGCCCTGTCGACAGCGATGGGCAAGGTCCCAGGCGCCCCTGCGCCTGCTTCCCCTTAAGCCCGCGCGTGGCTCGAGGGGCTCGCTCTCGCGGCCAACAAGGCTGCTGCCTGGCTCGAGGGGCCCCTCCGCGCGGCTGGCCAAACCGTTGCCTGGATCGATGGGGCTCCTGCCTGTGAAGGCCTGGACCGCCCCTGGCTCGATGGGGCTCCTCAGAGTGGCTGGCCAGGCCCGCGCTTGACTTGAAGGGCTCCTCCGCGTGACTGGCCAGGCCCCCGCCGGGCTCGAAGGGCTGCTTCGCGCGGCTGGCCAGGCCGCTGCCTGGCTCGAAGGGCTCCTCCTTGTGGCTGGCAAGGCCGCTGCTTAGCTCGAAAAGCTCCACCTGGTGGTTCGCTGACACAAGCACCCCATACACTACATCGGCACGCAAAGTCATGGGGATGTTTTGGAGGTCATTCATCTTGGCCTCCCAAGACTCAAACGACTGGTAGGAAAACGCCAAGGCCGCCACAACTGGAGCGCCCCTCTCCTTAGAGGACACGGAGCATCCTCGGAGGAACTCTCCATGAACTCTTCCTCCTTCAGCGGCTCGTCTGCACTGCATTCCCCTGTCGCTGAATCTAAGCTAGTTCTGGGTCGGCTGTGGGCGATGCCGACCGTGCTCGTTGCCGCCTACGGCGCTGCACTCGCACGGTTTCACCGCGAGTCCGAGGGAGTGTTTCAGCCTCTTTTCCAGACAGGGCGCGCTTAGACACGTTCCTTGCCGCCCTCTCTTTGGATTGAGAGGTGAGCAGGGCCATGAAAGTTGCTCATGCATTTCTAGCTCGTGGTACTGTGCTTTGGTGAGCGGAGGGCGCGATGAGCCTGGCCAGCGCCTGGCCTCTTTCCCAAGTTGAGCGGCCGCCTGCCCCAAAATATTCACCATCTGGTATGCGAAGCGCTGCGCCGCACTGGCATCGTTGAAGTACACCTTAGTGCCGTCGGGGAGTACAACACTGATGAGCGCCCGCGTGGCCCCCTATCACAAAACAGGAGCAACTATGTATGGCCTATAAGAAGTTGGTGCCCTGCCTATGCGCCCAAGCCTGGAAAACTGACGGGAACAGTATCGGACAAGCTCTTGAACCAAAACGGCTACGAACTCCTGCTCTGGCTCCTGGCCCTGGCCCTGGTCCTCCTCCTCCTACTCCTCCTTCTCGGTCCAAGCTCACCATGGTTCTTCACCATTCCTCGGCACTCGCTTTCGCTCGCCAACGCCAACGCCACCGCCGACGAACGACGACGACGACGAAGACGACGACGACGACGACGACGACGAAGACGACGTCGTCGCCAACACCGACGCCTACACCGACGACGACGCTGGATGCGGGCGGCCAGAGGCATTGGCAGGCGGCGCGGGGACGGCTAGCCTGAGCGGCGGGCAACTGCTTCTGGAGCTTAGCATCCTGATCTGGGCTCAAGGGCATGGGCGGAGCAGCAGGAGGAAGAGGAGGGGGAGGAAGACGAAGTGAAGAGTGGGAGGTGGAATAAAAAGAAGAAAAGAAGACGAAGAGGAAGCAGACGAAGTGAGAGGAGGGTCAAGAGACGAGGGAGCAGGGGGAGGACGAAGGTGATGAAGTGAGGAGCGGGAGGAGAATGAGGAAGAGAATGAGGAGGAAGACAGAGGACGGCGGAGGAGGCAGAGGGGGATGAGGACGAGCAGCAGACACAGGATGAGGACGAACACCATGAAATGAAGTGAGTACTGGCGCCAACAACAACCGATGGCTGCAAACACCGGGGCCAGCGAGCGCAGGTTTAGGTCGGGCCTGTCCTCCCACATGCGGATTCTGGAAGGAAGACTGCAAATAGCCACACATACTCAAACAGATTCAAACATAGTCAAAACATTGTCCCCAGACTATTTTCTACTATTTGTGAAGATCCCTCCTGTGGAAGGCCATGCCCGACTTAAGAGCAGGGCCGGCAGGCCGGAAGCACCTCCCTCCTCTGGCGCCGAACTCTGCGCCCCGCGCCGCGCACTGCGCGGTGGACCTCGCATCCACTCGCCGCCCCGCCGGAGACGAGCCCACCTCCCGCCTGGGCCGCGGAGCGCGCCCCACCAGAGACGAGCCCATCTCCGCCTGGGCCGCGACGCGCGTTCATCCTCGCGCCCCTGCGGGTGGTCGAGAAGAGCTCCGCCCCAGAGCTGGTCAGGATCGAGCCCCCGAACCCTCTCGGGGGGACGTCCAGATGCGTCCAGGCGTGCCAGGAGGGCCGAGGGCCTGCAGCGTCGGCGTTGGCAGAAGGACCCCCCGCGCGAATCATTGGTCTCCCTTCTTTCTCAGCTGAAGACTCTGGATGGTCAGACGGTTTTTCAATGGAGAAGGTAGAGGCCTCCCAGATGGAGTCGGAGTAGATGGAGTCAGAGGATCACGCCGCATCGACAGTGCATCGCCGATCCTCCTCCGGCCTAGAAAAGGGGGACCCAAGCGAAGCACTTACCCCACCGTGGTGCTCGCCGCCCCACTGTAGTGCCGCCGCCGCCACGCGCCCCTCTCGGCCGCCCGGGAAGCCGCCGGTCGTCGTCGTCGTCGTCGTCGTCGTCGTCGTCGTCGTCGTCGTCGTCGTCGTCGTCGTCGTCGTCCGTCGTCGTCGTCGTCGTCGTCGTCGTCGTCGTCGTCGTCGTCGTCGTCGTCGTCGTCCGTCGTCGTCCGTCGTCGTCGTCGTCGTCGTCGTCGTCCGTCGTCGTCGTCGTCGTCGTCGTCGTCGTCGTCGTCGTCGTCGTCGTCGTCGTCGTCGTCTGTCGTCTGTCGTCTGTCGTCCGTCGTCGTCGGCGCCCAGAGCGGTGCCGAAGCCCACGGGGCGGCCGCGGAGGCGGGGCGACGGCGGGCCGTGCGCGGAGGCGGCCTTGGCGCTCGGCGGGCGCTTGCCGCCCAGAAAGGTGCGGATCGCCACCAGGCTGGTCAGGAAGCAGAGCAGCTGGGGCGGAGGAGGAGGAGGTACGTGTGATTCCTCTCTCTCTCAGACGCTCTCTGCATCCCCCCTCTATAGTATGTGTCCTTCAACTCTCTCTCTCTCTCCCTCCGTCTCTGTCTCTGTCCCTCTCTGTCCCTCTCTCTCTATCTCTCTTCCTCTCTCTCACTCTCTCTCTCTCCAGGCGCCGATCCAAGAGATCCGCGCGGAGCGCCAAAAGCTTATGCTTGTGGCGTGTTTTCTTCTACGAAAGACATCCGATGGTCTGATCTCTGTTCCAGTGGGCCCCGTTTTTGCCGGCGGTCCCGGGTGCCTGAAGGCGGCGCCCCCAGAAGCCGAGAAAGTGGCGACAAAAAAACCCGCTCGTGAGCCGAAGATCGGCGGCGAGCGAGGGGGGGAAGCGAGAAGGAAAAAGCCTTCTCAGAAGGAGGCGGGACTTCTCAGAAGCTCTCGCCGAGGGCGTTGCCGGCAGTTGCGCCTCGCCGAGGGCGTTCTAAGGAGGGCTTGGACCGTCCCGAACGGCCACCGTGGACACGAGTAATGATCCCAAAACCACCATGCGTCCGAGAAGGAGAAGGCCTTCTCAGAAGGAGGCGGGACTTCTGAGAAACCCTCGCGCCTTCTGAGGAATGTTTTGTGTCTACGGGGAAGGCTCAGAGAACTTCTCAGGAGGCGGCGGGGCTTCCGAGCTTTCTGAGAAGGCCTTCTCCTTCTCACTTCCCCCCTGGGCTCGCCGCCGAGAAAAACATGTGCGTATCCACGGTCTCTGGCCGCGAACCCGCGGATGCGGGGCGTTTTTGCGCGGATCCCCCGTTGGGAACGCATCCGTGCGAGAGCGCATCCGCGGGATGGCGCCCCAGAGTCCAGACCGCAACGGCGCGGACATACATACGCTCGCCTATCGTGACTCGCCTCGGCGCCTGAAGACTTGAAGGGGGCCTCGTCGTCGCCGCCGTCGCCGTCGCCGTCGCCGCCGTCGCCGAGATCGTCGCCGTCGTCGTCGTCGTCGTCGTCGTCATCGTCGTTGTTGGCGTCATCGCCGCTACCGCCCTCGTCGTCGTCGTCGTCGTCATCGATATCATCGCCGCCGCCACCGTCGTCGTCGTCGCCGCCGCCGCCACCGTCGTCGTCGTCGTCGACATGTTGCCGCCGTCGCCGCCGTCGTCGCCGTCGCCGTCGCCGTCGCCGTCGCCGTTGCCACCGCCGCCGCCGCCGCCGTCGTGGTCGTCGTCGCCGCCGCCGTCATCGTCGTCGTCGTCGTCGTGTTCGTCTTCGTCAACGCCGCCGTCACCGTCGTGGTCCCCGTCGCCGTCGTCGTCGTCGACGCCGTCACCGTCGCCGTCGGCGTCGTCGTCGGCGTCGTCGCCATTGCAAGAGCCTCGCCTCGATGCTTCCAAAACCTGAATGGGGCATCGTCTTCATCGTCGTCATCGTCGCCGTCGCCGTCTTCGTCGCCGTCGTCATTGCCGTTGCAAGAGCGTCGCCTCGTCGATGCCTCCAAAACCTGAATCGGACCTCGTCGTCGTCGCCGTCACCGTCGCCGCCCTCGCCATCGTCGTCATCGTCGTCGTCGTCGCCACCGCCGCCGTCGTCGCCACCGCCGCCGTCGTCGTCGTCGTCGTCGTCGTCGTCGTCGCCGTCGCCGTCGCCGCCTTCGACGTCGTCGTTGTCGTCATCGTCGTCGTCGTCGCCTTCGCCGCCGCCGCCGCAGTCAACGTCGTCGTCGTCGTCGTCGTTGGTCTGTCGTCGTCGCCTTCGCAAGAGCTTCGCCTCGATGCCTCCGAAACCTGAAGGGTGCCTCGAGCCTCGAAGCCTCAATGCCTCGTCGGTCGGTCGTCGTCGCCTCGCAAGAGCCTCGCCTCGATGCCTGGGAGCGCAGCGCGCCAGCCTGCTGGGTGGGATGCGGCCGCGGCCGCGGCCGGCGCGCGCCCGGAGGGCGCCTCGACCCACAGGGAGCGCAGCTCCGGCAGGGCCGCCCGCACCAGCACGAGGTGCAGCCACGGGAGCGCCGGGTCGGCTGCCTGCAACTCCCAGGCGTTAGGTCGTGCACGTCCTCCTACAGGCGGATTCTGGAAGAAACAGGAAAAGCTGTCCAGAACATAATCAAGCAATGCTCTCAAGAGAGCAGGAAAAATCGCCACATGTTGTTCCTATGCTTGAATATTCCTCCTGCAGGGGGACATGCCCGACTTCACACAGGCGGGGAGGGCGACGTGGGATTTCTATTGGCGGCGCGCACACGGGGGTACAGTCGGACCTGGGCCAGAAGAACATCCCTCAAGAAAATGGTGCCCTCCGCCGGCCAGAACACACAGGGCATCCAATGGTACCCTCTCCAGCATGCACAAGAACACTCGACCAGCACGCAGAACACTGGGGTACCCTCCCCGAACCTACCTCGAACCCTCTGTCCGACTGTAGGGAGAGGGGGGAAGGCTTCTTAGAAGGAGGCTGCTTCTTAGAAGGCGCCGGCCTTGCACCTATAGACAAGGCTCGCGCCCTCTAAGAAGCAGGGGTGCTCCTAAGAAGCCTTGCCTCCTCCTCCCCTGCAGGGCCCCTATCGGAGATCAGTCGGCGATGGGGGAATGGACAAATAATCAAAGAAACCCAAGAGGCCCCTAAGAGGCCCCAAGAGGCCCCCACGAGGCCCTCAGGAGGCCCCCAAGAGTCCCCCAAGCGGCCCCAGGAGGCCCCCCAAATGCCCCCCCGAGCGCCCCAGGAGTCCCCCGAGCGGCCCCAGGAACCCCCAAAGCGCCGCATTGACACCAGGCCCTCGGGCAAACGGCAGACACGAGGCTGTATGGGCCGGCGGAAGGAGCGAAGCGATTAAATAGTAAAAGAAACACAGGAACTTTCGGAGGTCCGCGCTGACTTCTCGGACGGGCGCTGGGCCCCCTGGCGGCGCCAACCCGGCGCCGCGCGCCACCGCGGGAAGCCCAGCGCCGATCCGAGAGTTCCGCGCGGACCTCCCAAAGTTTAGGATTACAGTCGACGCAAATCCCAGTGATGCACGATGAGGATGCCAGGGCCCTGGAAGGCCATTTCGAAGCTTCTCGAGCGGGGCGCGGTCAACGAAAGTGGCCCAGGATAGACCGAGGAGGCAAGGATGCAAGGATACCCCTGGGGAAAGTTGCCCGTCCTTGCTATGCGGGTTGACTGTATGCCCTTGCTTGTTCTTCGAGAAGCGAAGCTTCTGGCTGTCTTGGGGCTCCTGTCAGCGGGGTAATTGAATGCGGCTCCAGGCGGCCGCGTCCTCCCGCTGCTGCCTGTGCTGCCTGCCCTCCGCCCTTCCTCTAAGCCCGCCGAGCATATGGACTCCGCTCACGAGAGCCCCTGGAACAGTCATGTCAGCAACGAGAAGAGAAAAGGGTCTTGCGCGAGGTGACGTGGCGACCTGACGCGGTGGCTTGCGCGGGCCGCCAGCGCGGCACGCCACCTCGGAGACGAGTGCGCCTACGCGACGCCCCACGCGGGAAACTTCCGCGCCAACGCCGGTGAAGACGAGCCCGTTTCTCGGTGTCGCTCGTACCTCTGCCAGAGCAGTGCTGCACTCGACGCCTGGGCGTCGTCTCCGCGACACGCGGGGAACGAAGGCCAGGTCGGACTCCGAGGCTGCCTCGCCTCATCCCGCAGTGCCAGTGCGGGCGGCCCGCCACCCCGGCGCGGAACACTCCTGTTTTGGATCGACAATGCCATGTCTCTCGACCTCGAAGATGGAAGACCCGGTCTGGTTGACCCAAGACATTTTCTCTCGACCTCGAAGACGGAAGATCCAGTCTGGTTGACCCGAAAAGGTTTCTCTCGGCCTCGAAGATGGAAGATCTGGTGTGGTTGGCCCAAAAGGGGGTCCAGCTACAAGGGAGAGGTGCAATAGATCTGGTGCAAAGGGTTTGCGGGTTGCAATGCATTCTGGGGCGTGCAATACATTCCGGGGCGCAGATGTATTGCTGGACTCTCGCGTGCAATACATTCGTTGCAATACAATGCAATCCTATTCTCCGGCGCAGTACAGTTGCAATACAATGGCCCCAAATCTATTGCACCACCCCCTTGCAGCTGCACCCCCTTCTGGGTCAACCAAATCCAGACCCCTGCACCTTTCAGGCCCTCCTCGTGGGCCTCCGAGAAGGCCTACTGGGGCCCCCGAGGGTTTCTCGGGGGACGGGGAGGGGCCCCGAGCTGCCCTTCTCGCAGCGGGCGAGAGGAAGGGGAGAGAGAAAGGGAGAATGATATAGAGAGAGAGAGAGAGATCGCAATGCTGCGAGATGCGCTCTCAATCCTTCTGGCCTGCACCCAGAATCTACAAGCAACGCCCTGGTCTCTGTGCACCCAGTCCTCCATGTCGTCCGCTTCCTTTCTCTGGCCTCCTTCCCCTCCCCTCTTTCCTTGGACACAATAACTAATCATTTCCCACCGCTCCTTTCCCTCCTAGTCCTAGTCCTTCCGCTTCTCCTGCTGTTGCTGCTGTTCACCTTCCCCATCATCATCGTAATAATGTTAATCCTCCTCCTCCTCCTCCTCCTCCTCCTCCTCCTCCTCCTCCATCCCCTCCCCCTGCTGATGTCATCGTGCCTGGAATCCCCCACCTCCCTCATGCCCCTCCGTTCTTCCCCCACCCTCTTTCTCACCATATCCCTCCCCCTTCCTCCTGTCCCGTCCCCCCCCCCCCTCCCCTACGTTATCCGCCCTCCTCCTCCTCCTCCTCCTCCTCCTCTTCCGTTGTACCCCGCTCCATCTCCTCCCGCCTCCTCCTCTCCGCCTCTTCATCCTCCTTCTCCTCCACCTCCTCCAACCTTTTTCTTTCTAGATAGCTCCCCCTTTTGCGCCCCCAGGCGTGTCAGTAGGGCCCGCCCGGCGCCTCGTCTGAGAGCTCCTCACCAATTCTGATCCTGAAGCTTGAAATCTGCAACAGCTTCGCGGATGGACGTGGGGTGATTTTCAAAGTGTGGCTCTCGCGTTAGCGCCGCGCACGTTCGTCTCAAATGCCTGCAGCAGCTTCACGGATGGAGGGCGGGGGGTCGTTTTCAATATGTGATGATCGCCTGAGTGCCGCGCGCATTCGTCCTTAAAGAAATGTAGCAATTTCGCGGATGGTGGGCGAATCCGATTCAGAATGTGGCTCTCGCCGTAGCGCCGCGCGCATTCGTCTGTAAAGTTTGCAGCATACTCGCGGATGGAAGGGGGGTCGCTTTCAAAATGTGGCCCTCGCCCTAGCGCCGCGTACGTTCCTGAAAATTGCGCAACAATTTTAAGGATGGAGGGGGTCGTGTTTGTTTGAAAATGTCGTTCTCGCCTTAGCGCTGCGCACGTTCGTCTTAAAAAATTGGATGGGAAGAAGTGTGTGTGTGTGTCTGTGTGCAAAATGTGGCTCTCGCCTCAGTGCCGCGCGCATTCGTCTGAAATATTTGCAATAATTTCAAAGATGGAGGGGAGCGCTTTCAAAATGTGGCCCTCGCCCTAGAGCCGCGCACATTCACCTTAAACGATTGTAACATTTCCATGGACGGAAGGGGGTTCAGAATGATAGTCTCGCCTTAGCGCCGCGGAGGGCGTTTCTTTATCAAAGAACTGCGCACTGGTCGTTTTCAAAATGGCGCTCTCGCCTTGGTGCCGCGCGCCTTCTTTTTTCCCCAAACAGCTTGCTGAACGGGGTGCTGTTGTGATAGAAGCTAACTCCGGCCGAAGGAAAGGGGAGCAGAAACATCCTCACAAAAGTCTGATGGTCCAGGCCGTTTCGCTTGAGACATCCTCACAACTCTCGTTTCTGAGTTGGCCGGGATTGGCCGTTTCGCCTGAGACATCCTCGAAAAGTTGCGCTCCAGGACGCCGCGCGAGAAATGGTCTGGGCCGTTTCGCTTGAGACATCCTCGAAACTCTGAGCCCCGAGGTGCCGTGCGAGAGGTGGTCTGGCCCGTTCTGCTTGAGACATCCTCGCAACTCTGAGCCCCGAGGTGCAGCGCAAGAGGTGGTCTGGCCCGTTTCGCCTGAGACATCCTCGCAACTCTGGGCCCCGAGGTGCAGCGCAAGAGGTGGTCTGGCCCGTTTCGCCTGAGAAATCCTTGCAACTCTGGGCTCCGCGATGCCGCTTGCGAGGTGGTCAGGACTGTTTCGCCTGAGACATCCTCTCCACTCTGAGCCTCGAGATGCCGCTTGCGAGGTGGTCTGGCCCGTTTCGCTCGAGACATCCTCGCAACTCTGGGCCGCTTGCGAGGTGGTCTGGCCCGTTTCGCCTGAGACATCCTCGCAACTCTGGGCCCCGAAGTGCAGCGCAAGGGGTGGACTGGCCCGTTTCGCCTGAGACATCCTCGCAACTCTGGGCTCCGAGATGACGCTTGCGAGGTGGTCCGGCCCGTTTCGCCTGAGACATCCTCGCAACTCTGGGCTCCGAGATGCCGCTTGCGAGGTGGTCCAGCCCGTTTCGCCTGAGACATCCTCGCAACTCTGAGCTCCGAGATGCCGCTTGCGAGGTGGTCTGGCCCGTTTCGCCTGAGACATCCTCGAAACTCTGGGCCCCGAGGTGCAGCGCAAGAGGTGGTCTGGCCCGTTTCGCCCGAGACATCCTTGCAACTCTGAGCTCCGAGATGCCGCTTGCGAGGTGGTCTGGCCCGTTTCGCCTGAGACATCCTCGCAGCTCTGAGCCCCGAGGTGCAGCGCAAGTGGTCGTCTGGCCCGTTTCGCCTGAAACATCCTCGAAAAGCTTGGCTCCGAGATGCCGCTTGCGGGGTGGTCCGGCCCGTTTCGCCTGAGACATCCTCGCAACTCGGGGCTCGGAGCTGCCGTGCCAGAAATGGTCTGGCCCGTTTCGCTTCAGACATCCTCCCAACTCGGACTCAGAGATGCTGCGCGCGAAATTGTCCGGCCCGTTGCGCCTGAGACATCCGGCCGCATCTGAGTCCCGATATGCCGCGCGAGGTGGTCCAGGCCGATTCGCCTGAGACGTCCTCGAAACTCTGACCTCCGAGATGCCGCTCGCGAGGTGGTCTGGCGCGTTTCGCCTGAGACATCCTCGCAACTCTGGGCTCCGAGCTGCCGCGCGAGAGGTGTTCCAGCACGTGTTGCCTCGCACATGCTCCAAACTCTGACCTCCTAGATGCCGTTCGGGAGGCAGAGGTGGTGGAGGAGGAAGAAAAGGACTAGGAGGAGATGGACGGGAGGAGGAGGAGGAGGAGGAGGAGGAGGAGGAGGATGAGGAGGAGGAGGAGGAGGGAGCAGGCAGGAGGAGGAGGAGGAGGATGAGGAGGAGGACGAGGAGGAGGAGGAGGAGGGATGAGGAATGAGTTGCATGAGAAGGCTCAACGGGAAGCGAGAGGTAGAACGACCCGTTTCGCTTGGGGCATCCTTCCAATACTGAGCTCCGAGATGCCGCGCACGGCTCATGATTTGTGGAAGCCAAGCCCACAAGAACCCCCAAGACCTCCTACCGAACACCTTGATGCCTTTGTGCACAGACATGCGCAGCCCACTGCGCCTTCGAGAAATATATGTCTATCTCTTCTTTACATACATCCCGCTTGTCGGCGGTTGACCCGCCTGCCCCCATTCCAGTTAGCATGGGGGGGGGCCGTCGCTGCAGCAGCATTGAACCGTCGCTGCGGCGGTCTTCAACGAGGCCTCCGACCAAGACCTCCCCCCAGGGCAACCGGGATAACCATCATTACATGCCCCCCCCGCTTCCTTGCCCTCCCCCGTTTCCTCTTACAGTTGCTTCCGGGTTCACAGCTTGGCGGTGGAGCCTCTGACAGTGCCGACCCGACAACTTACTCGTCGACCAGGTGCGAAGGAGGGAGGAGGGAAGAGGGAAGCAGAACGACACCCTCAAGCGCTGGCTTCATGAGAGGCATGCGTCACACAAGCTGTTGTGAAACATTCCAATGTGCAAACATCATGCTCTCGTGTTTTAACTTGTCATGCCAGCCCACACTGGACGGGCACGCAATCGACTTTGGAAACCACAATGGAGATAAAAATCCTGTTTGGGGATACTGCACTCGGGCTATAATTTGATGCAACGTTCGTCAATGCGGAGATTGAAAGATTTGGCGAAAATGCGGGGCCGATTTCGGTAGGCGGCCGGGTTGCAAAGATCCCAGTTCCGGGTTCCCGGGTTCCGGTTGCTGGTTCCGGGCCGATTTCGGTGGGCGGCGGAGTTCCTGGATTTCTGGGTTCCAGGGTTCCTGGTCAATTTCCTTATGAATCGGTCTCACCATCGATCTCATTACCCACTTCTCGATCGATCTCACGATCGATTTCACAATCGATCTCACTATCGATCTCACTATAAATCGCACGATCGATCGCACGATCGATCTCGCGATCCATCTCACTATCGATCTCACTGAATCAACATCACTATCGGTCTCACGACCGACCATACGATCGTCCACTATCGATCCCACTATCGATCTCACTGTCGATCTCAATATCCAAAACACCATGTTTTAAACCATCCGCTGATTGGGGTTTTCTCTGGTGTCATTTATCCGGACAGAAGACTACTGATTTCCAAATTGGAGTTCGCGCCTGAGACGTCGATCATATCCGAAGGTCAGGACCCTCAACGCACGTAGCGCTACATGGATACATGGCGGCTCGCTTTTCAACATGGAGCTGCACCTTGAGATCTCCTCGAAGTTCATGGCCACACGTGCAACTGTTTGCGCCACAGTTGCACCACATGGGGGGCGATGCTTCTTCGAGAGGGGGATCTCCCTGGACACCTCGCTGAACTGCCTGATCATTGTTTCTCGTGTTCCTGATGACGCGATGTTGCTGCAGGAGCACGACCACACGAAACCTTCCACAACAAAACCAACCCCGAGACTCCAAGACGTCCATAGATGGTGTGGGAACGTCGCGCTTTCCATCGCAAGGCCATCGAAACCCAAGAAGCCCAGGGCACCCTGGAGGCAAGCAGGGTGTTTCTCTTGGCGTGGGCACCTGCTGTCTCTGCGAGGGAACACGGCGAGGCGGCGGCATCCCCGGGTGAGAACACCAGGAGGGAGCGCAAGCGCCAGCGGACGACGAAGCGGCGAAGCGGCGGCCTTTGCGAGGGCACCCTGGAGGCAAGCAGGGTTTTTCTTGGCATGGGTTTCCACTGCAAGCCCATGCCTTTTCAGAGAGCGGGGCCCTCGTCAAAAAATGGCAGGCCCAAAACTGTGCCTGGTACGTCAGAGGGAGGCACTTCGAAGAGTGAGGAGGAGGACATGTAGGGGCGTGTGAGGAGGGGACTTTGGAAGGGCGGGTGTACAATCAACCCGTACAATAAGGATGCGCAGTAAGGATGCAAGGGCCGTGGACGCTCATGCCGTGGCTCTTCGAGCGGTGCTGGCCATCGAAAGTGATTGAGGATGGACCGAAGATGCTCGAAGAGGCAAGGATGCAAGGGTACACTTGGGAAGTCGACCATCCTTACTATGCGGGCTGACTGTACTGCATCACCGTTTATGCATATTTGGTTTACTCTGGTCCTCCTCCTACTCCTGCTCCTCCCTCACCCCTTCCCCCTCCTCCCTTCTCCCCTGCCCCTCCCTCCTCCTTCTCCCCGAGAGCCTTCAGTACCTGATATACGCCTCACAGGCCGCATCAATGCACGGACGGCACTGTACAACAAAATCAGAAAACCAATCCCCTCCTCCTCCGCCTCCTGCTCCTCCTCGTCCTCCCTGCACAGACCCTGGGATCAGAAGCTTTGTCAGTCAACCTTCCCGAAGACCTCCACAAGGTTCTGCCTACCCTCAAGTGCAGCAGCACTACACCGCAATCATCCTCGTCCTCCCGACTTCCCCGGCGCCCCTGGCCCGCCGCTGTTGCTACCGCCTTGATGGCGTCCAAGCCGTCTGGGTGGACGCCAGCCTGGCCGCCGCAGCTGGCGCCGCCTTCGCAACTGCGGTCGCGCTGTCGCCACCGCCGCCAATCATCCCCCCAGATGGGGAGCAGGCGGGGAGGGTGGAGCAGGAGGATGGGGACGGTGGAAGAGGAGGTGGAGGAGGGGGACGGGAGGAGGATGAGGGAAAGAAAAAGGACAGGAATTGCAGCAGCAGCAGCAGCAGCTGGGGGAAGAGACAGAACCGCAGACGTATAGCAAGGCAGCAGGCAGCAGTCGAGACCGCCCGACACCACACACTGAGTCTGTTGGAATCCGTTCTTGTATCATTCGCGATAGCGCCCGTGACCGGTCCTGGCCCCCCACCCCTCCCCCCTTGGCCACGTAACGTTGCTCGCCGGCGCGGTCTGGGAATGAGCCGCTCTTAGGCATTCACAGACGGCGCCGGCGCGAATCGTGACGTGACAGGCCCCTCCCCCCCCTTCCCCCCTCCCCTGGTCACGCCCGGTATCGCCAGGATATAAAAGAACGATCTCCTGAGGGATGGCCTGGACCACCTCTCAGAGCTCTCTTGCCAGAGGGAAGAAACACACCCCTGACCTCTGACGCCACGATTTTTTCATCGCGTGGCCCCTCAGAGCTTCCGACCCCAACTCCTGGGGTCGTCGTTCTTGAATGTCCCAGAGCCCGAAACTGGTCTCCGAAGGCCCAAACTGGTAGTTCCGATAAAAAAAAACGTTGCGACTCATCAGGAACGCCCGTTGTCTGGGAAGACGCCGATGACCAGCCCAGGGGGTCTCCGAAGGTCCCTAGGTCCCTGGCAGCCCCTGGACGACCCCAGAGGCAAAAGAGAACCTTAATAAGGTCGGACCTAAGACAGAATACCATCCTTCAAAACATGCAACCATAAGATCACTCGAGGGTACCCTCCCCCAGGATGCACAAGAACATCGAACAAAAACGATGAAAATTCGGGTACCCTCCCCGAACCGACCTCGATCTTACGGTACATCGACAAAATGTTGCACCACCTGGTGTCTTCAAGAATGCACGCCACGTTTGCACTGGATGTTCGTTTCCACCCCCCCTCCCCCCAAATCTCAATATTGGCTGCGGTCTGGGTTCATCGAAGCAGCTCGGTGGTGCAACATTATGTCGAGAGCCCCTGGGGGGGGGCCAAGGGCTCTTCGCCACGTGCCCAATATCAAGATCGGGGGGGAAGGGGGAGGAACAATGCAATGTAGCTGATAATGCGCGGCAAAAATGGTGCAATATTTTGTCGATGTACGGTATGCCTCGGTCCGACCGCAGATCAGCCCCAAGCCCCTCGATGCGGCGGCGGCGACGACGACGTCCCTGCGCCTCTTGGAGAAGGCCGCCTTTTGGAGAAGGGCAGCTATCCGGCCCAGGCTACGACGCGCGAGGCGCGATTCTTTTCGCGCCCACCGCCACCCTCCCCGCCCCTGGTGGCGCCTCCCTCCGACCCCCCTCCGACCCCTTCGGAGCGGAGGAGGCTGGGGGGCTCCCGATCCCTTCTTCTCTAGAGACGGGAACGAAGGGGTGGCGGGATCTCCCCTCCCCTCTCTCTCTCGCTCTCCCTCCCCCGCTCTCGTGCACGTCGTGCTTCTTTCTTGTCGCCACCACCGATCGGCGGCGAGCCCGGGGGGAAGTGAGACAGGGCGGGCCTTCCCAGAATGCTCGGAGGTCCCCCAGCATTCTGAGAAGTGTTCGAAGCCCCCCCCAAAGACACTGAAGACTTCTCAGAAGGCTAGAGGGCTTCTGAGAAGTCCCGTTCCCCTCGGAGGAGGAGGAAGAAGAAGAGAAGGCGGAGACGCAGGAGGAGGAGGAGGAGGAGGAGGCGGAGGCGGAGGAGTTGGAGTTGGAGTTGGAGTTGGAGTTGGAGTTGGAGTTGGAGTTGGAGTTGGAGGAGGCGGATGAGGAGGAAGAGGATGAGGATGAGGAGGAGAAGGAGGGGGAGGAGGGGGAGTTGGAGGAAGAGCAGGATGATGATGATGATGATGATGATGATGATGATGATGATGATGATGATGATGCTGATGATGATGATGATGATGATGATGATGAGGAGGAGGAGGAGGGAGGAGGAGGAGGAGGAGGAGGAGGAGGAGGAGGGGAGGGGGAGGAGGAGGAGGAGGGAGGAGGGGAGGAGGAGGAGGAGGAGGAGGAGGAGGAGGACGAGGAGGACGAGGAGATGGAGGAGGAGGAGGAGGAGGAGGAGGAGGAGAGGAGGAGAGAGGAGGAGGAGGAGGAGGAGGATGGAGGAGGAGGAGGAGGAGGAGGAGGAGGAGGAGGAGGAGGAGGAGGAGGAGGAGAAGGAGGAGGGAGGAGGAGGAGGAGGAGGAGGAGGGAGGAGGAGGAGGAGGAGGAGGAGGAGGAGGAGGAGGAGGAGGAGGAGGAGTGGAGACGGCGGCGGCCCGCCCACGGGGCCTGCCAGCCCGACGTGCAGTTCGGCGCCAGGCCCACGGACGCCAGCAGCACGCCGCAGGGCTCCTCGAGCGAGCTCGTCACCTCTCTGGCCGCGACGAGGCGGCAGCGGGGCCAAGCATGAAACAATCAAGAGGGTGGGTGAACAGGAAGAGGAAGAGGAGGAGGGGGAGGAGGAGGAGGAGCAGGAGGAGGAGGAGGAGGAGGAGGCGGAGGGGGAGGAGGAAGAGGAGGAGGAGGAGGAGGAGGAGGAGGAGGAGAAGGAGGAGGAGGAGGAGGAGGAGGAGGAGGAGGGGGAGGGACAGGAGGAGGAAATGGAAGTTTTTTCTCGTCAGCGATCCCGTAGGCCTGAACGAATTTAATTGACACCGAACCAAACTGGATGGCTTGCCTGAGACTAAGGTGCAGGCCTTGCTGCCGCCGCCGTCTCCCGGGCCAAAATACGCGCCTGGAGCGCCAGCATTCCTGGAGTCGATATCAAACCAGAGACTGGCGCGGGCAGACTAACGTCACGGGACGGGGGGGGCTGAGCAGCATAACAGAAAAAACTGACCCCTCGCCTCGAAATCTCACTCACCGTGGAGCTGGGATCACGGTAATGAGAATACAAGCCAGAACACAATCTGCGCAACATCGTGGGAGCGCCCGACAGATGGCGCTGAGGAGAAAGAGGAGGAGGAGGAGGAGGAGGACGAGGAGGAGAAGGAGGAGGAGGAGGAGGAGGAGGAGGAGAAGGAGGAGGAGGGGGAGGAGCAGGAGGAAGGGCCGAGACAGGGCGCAGCCCTGGCCTTACTCTTAGACCCTTCGTCGTCGTTGTCTTCTTCTGTCGCGGGGCCCGCGCTCCTCCACCAACACTCGTCCTCTTCCTCCTCATCCTCCTCCTGCTCGTCCTCCGCCTCCTCCTCATCATCCTCCCCCTCCTCCCCCTGCTCTTCCTCCTCCTCCTCCTCCTCTCCTCATGCTTCTCCCCCCCTCCGCCTCTCCTCTCCTCCTCCTCCTCCTATTCCTCTTCCTCTTCCTCCTCCTCTTCCTATTCACCCAACCTCCTGATGGTTTCATCCGATCCCTCCTCCTCCTCCTTCTCCTCCTCCTCTCCTCCTCCTCCTCCTCCTCCTCATCCTCCTCCCCCTCCTCCTCCTTCTCCGCCTCCTCCTCCTCCTCCTCCTCCTCCTCCTTCTGCTCGATCCACACTATCCTCCTCCTCCTCCTCCTCCTCCTTCTTATCCTCCTCATGCTCCTGCTGCTCCTCTGGTCGCTCCCCCTTTCTCCTCCTCTCCTTCCATCTTCATCTGCATCCTTACCCGGTCCCTCCTCATAATCGACCCGAACCTCGATCCTTCGGCAGCCCAAGGGGTCCGCGTCAGCACAGGCACGGCTGACAAGGAATACTTCAGAAGGGGCGTGACAGCACGCCTGTGAGAATCTCCTACCAGCGGAGGGCTTCAAGTCTCCACGCCAACTCGGGGCCGACTGCAATTCAGTATGGAATTGTATGTATGGGGAGGGTTCTTACGGAGGCTAAGGCCCACCTCCCCCGAAACCCGTGAGCAATCGAAATGTGGCAAGCCTACTGGTCTCCTCAGCCTTGCAATGCATGCGAGCCCGAATCTCACTCACTACCCTCCCCTCTCGGCAGCACCGACACGGAGACTAAAGCACCGCGTTTGTCGTAATTCTGGCTCTCGGCGATGGCTAGAATAATGCCCCGAATTCGTTGCAACGCAACCTCTCAACAATGCATGATGCCTCATACCTCGAATTCGCCGAAACACCGTGCCGTGCCACATCCTCATCATCATCATCATCATCAGCATCATCAGCATCATCATCAGCATCATCAGCATCAGCATCATCAACAGCAGCATCATCATCATCGTCATCAGCAGCATCATCATCATCATTATCATCATCAGCATGATAAGCATCGTCGTCATCATCATATTCATCAGCAGTACCATCAGCTTCATCATCATCACCATCATGATCATGATCATCATCACGACCATCCTCATCATCAGCAGCATCATCATCTGCATCATCATCATAATCATCAGCATCATCATCATCATCATCGTCATCAGCAGCATCATCGTCATCATTATCACCAGCATCATCATAATCACCCCGTGAGCATAATCCTCATCATCCTCATCCTCATCCTATTTCATCATCCTCATCACTACCACCATCATCATCAGCATCATCACCATCACCACGACCACCATCACCACCATCATCATTACCACAATCATCACTACCAGCAGCATCACCACAACCATCATCATCATGATCAGCAGCAACAACAAAAGCAGCATCAGCACCGGCAACAGCAGGGGTAGGGGAGGAAGAGGAGGAGGAACAGGAGGAACAGCAGCAGCATGAGCCAGAGCAGAGGCACGAGGAGCAAGTGCAGCGTAGTTGGAGGCGGGGAGCAAGAGGAGGAAGAGGATGAGGAGGAAGGGGGGGTATGAGAACCAGATGAGGGATCGCCTGTGTCTCCAGTGCTGGCACCAGCGACGCACACCAGAGTGCGGCAATCGTGGCAGCACCCATGACAGCAGAGGTGCGCGCCATGATTTCAATAGTATGGTATGGAATCCACGGGCCCCCTCTTGAGGGGCACGATGCGCCCAAGGCTGCCCAAGATGTCTCAAAATTGTTTCAGGGACCCCGAGATGGTCCAAACAAGGCCGCAGCGGGTCCCCACAAAACTGCCCACAACTGTCTCCGACGTGGCGGCAGAGGGCGCAGCCCATCAGATACGAGTTACGCTTTCAGACTTGTAGTCACTGTTGGAGCAAACGTTACGCTGCACAATTACCAGATCTGGTCGGGTAGGACGTTTATCCGATTAATATCGGTAATTCTTGAGCCAGAGCAGCGTCGCGGACCCGCACTCCTTTCCCCGTGCTGCGACATCGCCGCTTTCAACTCCCCGCGACCAACTTAGATTCATCCCCCTCCACCCTCCACCCCCCTCCCTCCTACTATGATTATTCCTCCACCTGCTCGTCCTCATGATTATTATGTTGCTTCTGCTGCTTCTGCTGCTGCTCATCACCATCGCGATCACCATCGGCATCATGATATCTGATGTGTATTTGCTCTTGCTACTGAGTAGCTACTATGTGCTATGCTACTGAGTAGCAGCTACGCCTCTCCACCCTCCTCCTCATCTTCCACAATGTGCTGCTGCCCCGGTTGATGCTGCAACTCCTCCTCCTCCTCATCGTCGCCGTCCCCCTCCTCCTCCTCAACCTCCTTCTCCTCCTCCTCCTCCGCACCATCGACCTTCTTCTGTTCATCATCACTCTCCACCCCTCCCCTTCCCCCTTCCACCTCCATTTCGGCATCCACACTCCACTCCCCACCCCCTTTGCCGTGCCTGGCCCTTCCCTGCTCCCGCTCTCGCCTATACCCCGCCCGCCGCTTCCCACACAGGCGCCCGATAGTTAACACCATCTGATCACTATTCCCCCCACTCCCCTGACAATGCGCGCGTTTGCTCACACATCCTTTTCACACACGTGATTCCAACACATTATGGTTTAAACTGTGTTTCGATCGGAGAGTTTTCGGTCTTCAGAAACGGTGCTTCCGCTGCAGCGTTGGTCGCAACACAAATCGACGCCTTGCTTCCGCCATTCAGGGTGGCGCTCTCGCTTCAGCGCTGGCCACCGTACTGGTCCCGAGTCGTTCCTCAGCGTTGCCGCACCCTGCCTTTCCCTCCTCCGCCTTCCCTGAAGAATCCTCCTGTTCTCTAGCGCAGAACCAGTCCAGGGCGCGAGTGTCAACCCTCAGAGCAAGGGAACCAGACAGGAAGACGCGAACCAGCGATGCAAGGACGCCAGCGAGAACCAGGCCACACATGTGCTGGACGACAGGCAGCGAGGTGCCATTCAAACCGTCTTCCAGACCCAACTCTTGCAAGAAATCCTCACCGATCCGTCACAACGCGTGGTGAGGCACGGTGCACCAGCCATCAAGCGACGCGCCCCGCACGACGTCAGCACCGTCTTGACCAAGTCGGACATGCGCGGCCGACTACCGCGGAGGTATTCCGCCAGACGGGCCCAGCGCGGAGAGCCTCACCGCATGGTGCAAGACCGAGACCACCCTGGTGCATGACTCCACCCCAACCCAACCCGAAATCCCCCCAAATTTCGGGTCGGGGAGCGTTCGGGTTCCATCTGTGTTTTTCCCATGTTCCGGGATGCTCCCCCACTGGGAATGGAGGGCGACTTAGTGAGGTGGAGGCCCGCATAAGAAGGTCAGCACTACCGTGCGCTTGGGGTGCCCAAACGCGACACAGACGTCTGGATCCGCGCCCGCCGAAGCTCCGAAACCGATACGGCGGTGGCCCCTGGGCCCCTGCCACGCCGAGCCAACCTTTGCACGCCACGCACCGCAACGCGGCTACGGTCGGGAACTCCTGCTCAGCGCATCGCGGCGGCGGCCCCGGCGACACGCTGTGCAACGTGCCGCTGCGCTCCGCGGGGCGGGGAGGCGGGGAAGGGCTCAGGGCAGGGATGCTCGGGAACCGCAGCGTGGACGGGCCAGAACCGGCGACGCGACACGCTGAGCCAACGTTCCCGACCGTGCATACGCTCGGGCCGTCACGAAGTCGCGAGGCAAGACGGTCTTTGACCTCATCCGCTAGGGGGCCGAGGTCACCCGCGCAGGCCAGGACCGCGCGAGGGAGGGCCACGTCTTCATCGTCCACGCGACCCACGGCACCGCCCAGCACAGCTGCGGTGGCGCACGGCTACTCCCGACGGTGACCTCTCACACTGCACGGCAAGGCGAAGACTACAGCCACGGAGGTTGTCGCCAAGAGCTCCACCAGCAGGCCCCCGCGAACGCCCAGCGAGTGGGCAAACTGGCGAAGAGGAGCCTCCTGCCCGGTCGCCTCTGAAGCGGATGTGCGCGGCGTGGAGGATTCCACGCGGGCGCTGCGCCGGGAGCTTCAAGACCAACGTGCCGCCGCCGACCCCCTGGCCGGGACCACGTCCAATGTCGAGGCGGAGCTGGTCGCGCAAGGCCACCGCGTCGAGAGCCGGGGCGTCCAGACCACGACAGGCTTCGACAAGACCATGTGGCCCGGCTGACGCGCTTGCAGGAGGAGGAGGAGGAGGAGGAGGAGGAGGAGGAGGAGGAGGAGGAGGAGGAGGAGGGCACTGCCCCACAACCCCAAGGGGTGGCCCAGAGAGCCCCACCGCTGCCGAGCCTGCCCCGGAAGGGACCGAACACCTGAGCCCCGCCGCCGTGGCCGGCGGCATCGCCGACACTGGCAGCAGAATCAGCGCCCGCACCGTCGGGCCCACGACCTCCTCCTCCATCTCCCTCCTCCATCTCCTCCTCCTCCTCCTCCTCCTCCTCCTCTTTTTTCTGCCGTTGCTCGGACATTAGGGTTAACCTGTTGCGTGTGGACACGACGCAGAGAAAAAGCGCCGACTTGGGCGAGGCGACAAACTAGTCCGGCTTCGGACAGGTGCGAATAACAAAAGGCAGCGAAGCAAGCAAGGAATAGTGGCCCATGAGGGCAGGAGTAACCCAGTCAGCGGCACATCCTCCTCCTCATCCTCCTCCTCCTCCTCCGCCTCCTCTTCCTACTCCTCCTCCTCCTGCTCCTCCCCAAGGCGCTCGCCTGGCGAGTGCAGGGCTGCCCGCGGCAGGGCCCGTCGCTCCGCCGACGAGGCCGTGGCTTGGCTTTCCGGAGAGCTTGCCCGTGCCAAGTCGGAGCTTGACGCCGCTGTGGAGGCGCTGGACTAGAGGAAGAAGAACTATGCACATACACCGATTCTGGCCAGGCCCATCCTGAGCCCAGGATCGGTGCATACGCCCTCCTACCTTGGCCAGGAAGGCATATGCACCGATCCTGGGTCAAGGATGGGCCTTGCCAGGATCGGTGCATGTGCATAGTTCTCTTCGCCCGATGGACGGGCTTCTGGGCGGCGCGGAGGTGGCGGGGCGCGTGCGCGCCATCCTCCCAGCGCCGCAGGAACGTGCTGCTTCATTCATGTTGCGCCGGGCGTCGCGATCGACACGGCGGACGCATCCGCTCTTCGGAGGGCTCAGCATGGGCCCAGGCTCGAGTCCAGAGTCGGGTCCTCTCGAAGCATGCCACGCCCTTCGTGCCTGGCGGCGGGTACTGGTGCGGGCTGGCCGACGTGGACTCGTCGTTTCATCACTTAGCGGAGGAGCCCCATTTTGTCCCGGAGCAGTTTCAGGAGCAGGAGTTCGTCCCCCACTTCATCGCCGCAGCGGTAGAAGATTCTGGCTGGCCTGCAGGCTTGGTTCCTTCTATCCACCTGCAAGGCCTTTGGGAACCACTCTGCGAATCTTGCGATCCTGGCCTTTCCCACCTCACGGTCGAAGAACAAGAGGCGGAACAACTGTTTACGGAGGTCGCGCTCCCGCTGCGCCGCGGAGCGCCTGCGTGCTCCGATGGGTCCTGCTTGGGAATCTGTCGTGTAGCCACACGAAAGATTCCCAAGGACTGCTTGGGATTGCTTTGTGCTCGCCGACGTGGACGCCTTTACGTTCAGCAGCGGTGGCACCGTCGCGGACGCTGACTGCGAGATTGCCTCCTGCGGTGGCGATAGCTTCAGCAAGGTGTTCTTCACGGTGGTGGCGTCCAGCTTCCCTGCTGCGAGGAGGAGCCATCTCGAGACGAGCGCCGTCGCCCACGTGTTCCAGGCCATCGACGTCTGCATCATCCCGTCCTCTTTGGGGCGCACGTGTGACTGTTGCTTTGTCGTTATCGCTGAGGTCGACGGGTCGGACACCGAAGCGCTCTGGCGCAAGGAATGCGACATGCTCCTCTGCCCTTGGTGCTGGCCTCCGAAGCTCGAGCAGCGGTTCATCGTTGCGACGGATGCTATGTGAAGTGCCGTCCTCGTGAGCTGCCCAGCTCTGGCGTGGGATCATGGCCAAGAATACTCGCCTTCCCTGTTTGGCATCGTCGGCGTCGGCCTCGTCGCCGCGTACCTTGTGAAGATCACGGAGCGCGCGTGTCTGGAGTTCATCGTCTTCGGTGGGGTCGTGCACAGGAAGGCGGGCAGAGTGGTGCAGCGGCAAAACCAGGATCATCAGCATCATCAGCATCATCAGCATCATCATTATCAACATCAGCATCATCATCATCATCATCATCATCATCATCATCATCATCATCATCATCATCATCACCGTCATCATCACCATCGCCATCACCATCACCATCACCATCATCATCATCAGCATCAGCATCATCAGCATCAGAATCAGCATCATCATCATCAGCTGCATTATCATCATCGTCATCATCATGACCATCACCATCACCATCACCATCAGTATCACTACCACGATCGCAATACGCAGCATCCTCATCCTCATCCTCCTCCTTCTCATCATCATCATCGTCATCATCATGATCATCATCAACAACAGCATCGTCATCATCATCATCATCAACAGCATCCTTCTGCTCCTCCTCCTCCTCCTCACATCATCATCAAGAACGTCATCATAACATTCATCATCATCATCAGCATCATCATCATCGTCGTCGCCATCATCATCAGCATCGTACTCATCCTCAGCATGACCATCATCACCAAAGTCAGCATCGTTATCACCATCACCATCAACAGCAGGATCATCATCATGATCATCATCAACATTAGTAGCAGCAACAACAACAACAGCATCAGTATCATCATCGACAGCATCATCATCGTCATCATCGTCATCATGATCATCAACAACAACAGCATCACCATCATCACGGCATGATCATCATCAGCACCAACACCATCACCATCACCATCATCATCATCATCATCACCACCATCACCAGCGCCCCCGTCATCATCATCAATATCATCATCATCGTCATCGTCATCGTCATCATCACCACTACCACCATCATCATTACCATCATCATCATCAACAT